AGTAAAATTAAAAACTTTTATATGTAAGGAAAAATACATATTTTACTAATTATAATTAGTAAAAAATTTAAGTGTTGCATTATTTTTGATTGTCACTGTAAATTATATAAAATTTATTTTAAAAATAAAATTATATTATATATTATTATTTAATTATTTAAATTTTCTTTTACTTAGCTTAAAAAAGAAAATAATAATAAAATTAAGATAATAATTAAATATATATTTAAAAAAATTCTTAAAATAATATTTATTATAACTTATAGTTTTAAAATAATAATTAATATTTATAAAATTATAAGAATTTAATCTTTTAATTTTAATATTATTAATATTAATTATATTACTTTTTATTAATAATAAAACAATTTAATTTTATTTTTTTCTTAATTTATTTAATTAATTAAAGAATTACTAATTTTGAAAATTATATTTTCTTTTTAATTAATTTATAAAACTTGAATTAATTTATTAAAAGAATAAAAATATTAAGTTATTTAAAAAGAAAAATTAATTAATTAAAAAAAAATTATATAAGATAAACTTGATAAAATAAAAATTAGAAATAAAGATAATTTATTTAACTTATTAAAATTTTTATTTTACTAAATTTCACATAAAGTCAAATTTATATATAATAAAAAATTTAATAAATTAGAAAAACTTTAACTTAATATAATTTTCACTTAGCATGATTTTATTTTAAAGGAATTTATCTTGTATATTAATATATAAAAAATTAAAATATATAAAAATTTTAAGTTATTTATTAAAATTAATACTTAAATATTTTTTTCTCTAACTTCTATTACAAATTAAAAAATTAAAAATATTATTATTAAATTTTAATCTTAGTTTTTAAAAAAAAGAAAAATATTACTTTTTATTTAGTTTTTTATTAATAATACTTTTTTATAAATATTATAGGTTAACTAAAAAAAATTAAAAATATTAATAAAAAAAAATTATTATTTAAAAAAATTACAAGCTGAAAAAAAAATTATTAAAAAAATATATTATATATAAATTAATTAAATATATTTTATATTTTTATATTTTTTATATTTTTTAATTTTATTAATAATAACTTCTTTTTTCTTTTCTTTTTCTTAATATTTTCTTTATAAATTATTATTTAATAAGAAAAAATATTAATTATTTATAAATTTATATTTTATTAATAAATTTAAAAGTAATTTAAATGCTTTTTCAAAATATATCTTATTAATTAATTCATATTTATAAATAAAAATAATTTTATTAAATTATTATTTAATATTATAATTTGCATTAAAAATTTAATATTCTTAATATTTTTAAAAATAATAAAAATATAATATTTTAAAATTATAATTATATTTTTTGTATTTCTTAGTTAATAATTAATTATATTTAAAATTTTTTTATATATTCTTTATTAAAAAATATTCAAGAATATAAATTTGAATTTATGTTTTTTATTGAATATCTTTTTTCAATTATAAAATTAATTGATTAAAATCTAGTTCTTATATAAAAAAAATAATTTTATTAACAAATTAATTAAGTTAATAAAAATAAGATTGATCTTTATTATATTGCAATAAATATTAAAAAGTTTTAAGAACTTAAAATTATAATTAATGTTCTTAGAAAATACTTTTTTTTTAACAATAGTCAGGATAACAAAAACTGATCTTTGATATACATATATAAAAAAGGATCCTTATTTAATAATTAATAGCAATATAATTATTATACCTTAATATCTAATGATAGTATTATTTCGAAACTGCCAAGTTATATAAATCATTCCTATTTTTCTTTAATGAGCGCTCGATTTATAAGTATAATTGCCTAACGCCAAGCTACAACAAACCTTTGATCTTTAAGATAGTTTAATGATTATTTATATCTTATTGGATCAGATGATCTGTTATTCAAAGTTATAATGCTTGTATATGAAACTGGATCATATTAATGATAATTTTTATTAAAATATCCTATATTTTGAAATTATAATCAAAAATGAATTATTCCTTTGCTCTAACACTTTTCCCGAAAATTTATAAGAATACTTTGTATATTGGGAAAAAAGCAGCATGTGCAAGCAGCATTTGAGTCAAAGTAGAGAAACTCACGTGGTTTTCCTCATTGATTTTTGTAGAAATTAACGTTAAGCAAATATAAGAATGAATTTCAATCTTTATTTCAAAAAATATGAATATAGAAGAAATTTTATTGATCTATTTAATTTTGCAATTTATATATCAAATATATCCCATCTTTTGTTTGTATTCAACTTCTTCTTCTATTGTCAGATCGGGGGCCTCCCATATTTCTGAACTCGATCTATTCCTTGATGACTTTCCACATTTGAATATATCTAATTTTTTTTTGAGAGAAGAGAAATTATTTATTGATTCTGAAATTATTATTTATCATCACTATTACTTTATTTATTACCTTCGATTGGAAGTGGCTCCATTTGCCCAAAAACACTGTCTGGATCAATTTGAGCTTGTCGTGCTAGAGCGGCAGAGATTTCCGGATCGTTACACCAGTCTGGTTTACTTTTAGATCTAGTGGTTAATTTTACGTTACCATGACTATTATTATAGGTGAACATGTGATTTTTGTGAAGTTGACACTGTTCTTTACTCCATAAAGATTCTTGAAGAGCTTCTCTTTGAGCAGCAGCCTCCCTTCGAAGAGCTTCAAAATGTATAGCCTCCAGACGACTAGCTTCTTCCTCTTTTTCAACAGCTTTTTGTCGTAAAAGTTGCGCTTCTTGTCGCAACCTTTCTATCAGTAAAAATTCTTGACGTATAGGGTTGTTGAGATTATTTTGATCTAATACTACAGCGTTCGTATCGTCATCAAACTCGGCAGTGCGTAAACGCTTGGTTTCCCGTTGTCGCGATGGTGGATGTTGTGGTTGTCTCGAGGGCATACTGATGATTGCTTTTCTGGGAATGTTACTTGATTTTGTAGAGATGGGAATCTTTTTGTCCGTGTATGTTATCACTTTCGAGCGCTCGATTTTTCTTTTTGATTCGATGAGATTTTGCTGCTCTTCGTTACGCTTTCGCTTGTCTGGTTTTTTATCTGGATCAATTTTTTTTTTTTTGGGAACAATGTTTTTTAAAAATTCATGAAGCCACTCCACTTCTTGTTGACATTTCTCTGCGAATTCTTGAATATTATTATGAAGAACTTTTTGAAACCGTTGCCGCTCTCCATTTATCCATAGGTTTGTAGTACCATGCAGAGTGAGTAAAGGTTCTTCCATGGTGTTGAGAATACTGTGCTTTAAATACTATCAAAAATTTATATTGTAATTTGAGAATTTGAATGCAAAGTATCGAGGATACCGTTTATTAATTACCTTGGCAAATAAATTATAAATTCCAACACTTTACATAATAGAATATTGCATGTCCCGTCCTTGCAAAAAAAATGCGTCACGCGTCATATAAATTCACATGACTTGACCTCATAAAAATTAGAGTCACGTGAATGAAAGGAGTAGAATATGTTTTTTTCTTTTTTTTCTTATTATTTTTTTCGCATGCTTAGTATAGCTGTATTATCTTTTATTTTCTTTATGCAAGATTCGCTGAAGAACCAGACACCACTCAAGAATATTGAAATAAAAATAAGGTTTTCGTGATAATGTACCGGATTACGCCTCAGCTTAACGAAAAAATTAGACATTTTGCCCAGTTTCCTCAGACTGGTGTTTCACTGCGACAAATGGTCTTATTTGGTAGAAAATTCGATTTTCTTTGCTGGTCATTTTCCTTTTACTGTTGACTATTCACTCATGCTTCAAGCCCATTATGTATTCTTATTAGGGCAAAATCCTTCTCCCGGGACACTATTACGAGCAAGCCAATTTCTGGCAGGTGAATGAAATCTTGATTAAGCACCTTAAACTATAGAATAGAATGTTTCTAATACCGCCGATATTCCTAGAGGAACTTCCGATTCGACTTGCACATCGTGTTAAAGAGCTGGATGAGTTGCCTCATAATTTGAATAATATGCCGTCGATTGTTAAAGTTAAAAATTGGTATGCTCAATCTTTTGAGGTAAGAAATCTTAAATGAGAATTTTTTAAAAATTGATGGTTCTTCATATGATCAAAACTGCTAATATATATTCTCTCTATTCTAATTAGGATTTGATAAATTTCCCAAAAGCCGATCTTCCTCGAAGTATTAAAGATAAATTTGCTGCGAGTGCATTGAAGGAGACGAAGTTACCTGAAAGCCGGCCAAATTTATCTGTAAAATATTCGTCTTCAAGTCCACCGAAACATCAGGCAGTACCCTTAGATCACAGGTATTATTTTTCAAGTAATATCCTTAAACAATATGATTAATTTTATTAATTTATTTACCGTTTTATAGATATTATTCGAACATTGATGGTATTGATTGGCCTCCCGAAGTATACCATTATAACGAAAAGTTCACTAAGTTAATTGAAGCAATTAAACGAAGACATGATCCCGTGGTGACAACAGTGGTACGTATTTTCTCATTTCTTTCTCAAATAGACACAGCCGAGAAGAATTAATAAATTAATATATAAAAATAGGGTAAGGCCCAATCAATCTCTTAACGACATTAAAATATTAATCACACTAACCGTGTTCATAGCAGAAGATGATTACTGTACCAACTATTCGCATTAACCATGATTTCAGCTCAGGGCATTATGGAATATAAACAACATAGAAAGTTGATTGACACGGATGTACAAGCTTTTTTAGATCGATTTTACATGTCACGTATTGGAATTCGTATGTTAATTGGTGAGTACTCTCGACAACAAAATGACTAATCTTGTTGATTTTTGCAGTAACTGCAAAACATTCCTTCTAGTTTAACAAAACGTAGCCTGGCTAATCTATTAGAATATTAATAGGCCAGCAAGTGGCACTCAATCGATTAGCGTCACGGCCGGATTACGTTGGCATTATTTGCACGAAAACTAATATCGCCGAAACAGTACAAGAAGCTGCAGATAATGCAAAATATATTTGCGAAGATTACTATGGCCTTTTTAGGGCGCCCGAAGTACAACTTCATTGTCCTCAAGATTTGATTTTCACTTATGTGCCGTCGCATTTGAGTCATATGTTATTCGAATTACTAAAGAACAGCTTACGTGCTGTTGTTGAGACATTTGGCGATGGAAAAGATGAGTATCCTCCTATCAAGGTTATTGTGGCAGAAGGAAAAGAGGTATTCTCTCTGGTTTGTTTGCAGTATTCTAATATTTACTTTGCTATTTTTTGATATCATAACTTTTATCCTCATCAGGATATCACAATAAAAATATCTGACGAAGGAGGTGGTATCCCACGAAGTAGTATTCCGTTAGTATGGACTTACATGTATACTACCGCTCAAGCTCAGGAGCTTGATCCCAATTTCAATCAGTCTGATTTCAAGGCACCTTTGGCAGGATTCGGTTATGGATTACCAATTAGTCGATTGGTAAGTGTCTATTCACTTTTACGTTCGTTTTTTTTTTCCTTTACTAACAAACGATAACGCGGTCGAGTAGTATGCACGTTATTTTGGGGGTGATTTGAAACTGATTTCAATGGAAGGGTAAGATAAATTGTTGATGTAAAATCAAAAGTTTCTTAACTAAATGAATATTTGCTTAATTTCGTTCAGATTCGGCACAGATGTCTATCTTCATCTTAATCGCATTTCAAATAGCGATGAACCACTACAATAGTCACTAGCAATTTTTGTGCTCTTTACGTGATTTTGTGATTGTGCACGAAGTTATAATTTTTAAGAAATTTATTTCTCTATCAATTTATCGTATATTAGATTATTTATAATTAAAAGAATCCTGTTGATATTACATCAAGTAATTTTCTAATAGGATAATATCGTGTGTGAAGATGCGGAAAATTAATCAAAAGTTCTTATAAAAATTATTGAAATTAGTATTAAATGCTATTAAGAAATTTTTTTTAACTCATTAAAAATTAAACCAATACATTCTGAGATTAGTGTTAGGAAAAAATTTTAATGTTTTTAATATATTAAATTCCAGTTGCACGAGTATATCATGTATTAATATTATGTATATACAATCTATTATGATCATCGTAGTAGTACGACCGCCAATCCTGCCGGTATGAACACCCATTGTTGGTTTTCATGATCTTCCAGTTCCGACTTGCGAGAATACAAAATCACGCTGGCGAAATCTTCTGTGGAACAATTCTAAAAAAGGAGATATTATTAAACATGACTAAACAAATACACTCAATCAAATATGCGAACATACTTCAATATCCAAAACCATATCTTCATTATCCATCGAAGCAATTTTATAGTCTTTGGTGTATATCCATCGTTGATTGTGAGGTTTATTATTTGGTTTACGAGGTGACTGACAAATTCTTGACACTAATCAAAGTTAGTTCAAAAGAGTTAATATAAAGTTCAAACGCGCATGTTTTAGAAAATCAGCAAATGATCAAACTTACTTAGCGCAAGGCGACCTTATTGTTTAAAATAGAGTAAATTTGATTAACATTAGCTAATTACAAATTACACACGAAAGAATATACATACCTCCAGTTATGTCCAAACACATTCCGCTTCGCTTATTAATCAAATAGCCAGCTTCGTGCCGCCAAAGTTGATTGTCAATAAGCTAGATGCGCATAAATTTGAGGAAACGAAACAAATCTTAGTCTTGAGCTATGCTATGACTCAAACTACTTTTGCTTTCACGTTACGATAATACATACTCCCTCATCGAGTTTTTTTAGATGGTACATTATGACTTCGGCCCCTGGTTCTGTCGAGGCGAAACATACATCAAGAACTTTATTCGAACATACTGATTTTATATAAAACCAGCCGGACGGGAAGCCAACCAAATTACGAGTATGCATTATTAAATTAGTGTATTAAATTAATGTATTCTTGTAATGTTTGATATATATAAATATAATAATGTCAATAGGAAGAAGAGGGGGTGTTCAGAGAGAAGAAGATATGACAGGTTGGTTTATTTGTTTCAAACATAAGCCCTTTATATCTTTGCGGCGTGCCAAAAAATTCAGATAATTGTCAGATAACGTGCATTTTGATAATAGTTATAAGGTCGCGTGCCAAAAATCTTTCATAGAAAATACTCGTGCGTATGCACTTTCCCGCAGATAACGTGCGGTATCGGTGCTAATATAAGGTTACAATCTGAAAATATCTGGGCATATGACATAAGTATGACACACATTACATAGAAGGATTTTCAAACAAACAAACAGTATGAGTGAGTGGAGAATAGTTAAAAGCTCACGATTCAATAATTCTCGCAATAATGATAGTTCTGCTAACCGTGGAAAATCTCGTGGTCAGCTCATCACTAAACTAAATACTTTTAACGCCGCTGAGAAAAAGAACCCGAGAATTCCGCAAAACGCGTCAACAACCGTTTCCGTGTCAGAATCTCGGGAAAATACCATTTTCTCAAAGACAAAACAAATCCGGAGTAATTTTTCACAGCCCCGCGCCTCTTATTATGCAACTATTAGTAAGGCTTCGTCAAATGAAGAAGAATCAGATACGAGCTCTAGGTCCAATTCACCTGATCCAGATGCATTACCTTCCCTTCCCCCTTTTCACGTTAGCGTCTTCATTTTGTGCCCTTTCAAGAACTGTCCTTTAGAACAACCAATACTGAATAGCACAGCTCTCTCGGAGCATTTGAAAGAACAACATAAGCTTGTCTTTATCAATTTGCAACATGTCTATATGATATTGGAGCGTTATCTAGAGTATTGGTCACAAAAAATCATTGAGCATGGCATAGAAAATACAGGGGCAATATTAGATAAAGGTTTGTTTACCCATTTTATTCTTTGATTTTGTTTTTATTAATATTTACACAAATTTATTAATGCTTATTGATGCACATGTATGTGATCATGCGCCAGATAATTCATTTTTCATTATTGACCCTGAAACCCTTACCGAAGATAAAACGTTACGCGAAAACCTGCAACTTGAAAAATTGGTAAAAATTGGCAGCATACATTAAATTAATTGCTCACACGCTCTTTCTGATCAATTAAACTTAAAATTTAGAATGAGGTTCTCCAGATCCAGGCGCGTGAGCGTGACAAAGAGGCTAAAGAAGAAAGAAAATGTTTGTTTTGTAAAAATATTTGTCAAAATAGGTAAGAAGATATCGTCGATATGAGGTATAGCTACCTGTCTCATTGTGTCATTCAGAATACGTGTAACTCGACATTTTTCAATCATCCTAATGGTTCGTTAAAATAATCCACTTATCTATAGATCAATTCTCTTTCGGCATATGTTTTCTGAGCACAATTTCAATATAGGGCTTCCTGATAACCTAGTAAATGTGAATGAATTTCTATATATTCTCGATCAGAAACTGACAAAGTATAATGGATCTTGCCTAATAAAAGTTTTTTGAGTTTTACTCGTATAAATAATTCTAAAGTAATCTGACTTTAATTATGTAGTTTACAATGCTTGTACTGCGAAAAAATCTTCACAAGTCCAGCGGTTTTACGTAAACATATGCGAAAAAAAAAGCATTTCAAAATCAATTCGAGAAATCGAATTTACGATCGATTCTACATCATAAATTATCTGGTGAATTATTTTTTTTACAATATTCTCAAGTAACCAATCATAGCATCCGTCTATTTATGCATTCTTTATAATTAGGAACCGGGAAAAAATTGGGAGAATTACGAAAATGAGAAATATGAATCTGATGAGGATCGACGTGACGAGTGAGTTCATAAAGAAAAAAAATTCTTTTCCGGAACTAACCAATTGTTTAAATTTATATCTACCTTAATTCATATCTATCTATCTAATCAATAATAGCTCGTGGGATGATTGGGATGAGATGGTTGTACCAGAACCTACAATGTGTCTTTTCTGTGGTAATATGTGCAATTCGCCAAAGGATGCATGTCAGCATATGAAGGCAAAGCATAGATTTGACTTATTAGGCATCAAACATGAAATGGGTTTGATTATTTTTTATTAAAATTTTTACTTGTTTGTTATTATATGTATCTATTAATGAATTTACTTTTCTTTTTGGAATACAGGTTTAGACTTTTATAAAACAGTCATGCTTATAAATTATATAAGGCGTCAGGCATCCTTTATTAGATGCATGGCTTGTAATACGTCATTTGATGATCTTCAAAAAATGACGGAACACATGGAAAGGGAAAATTGTTTTTCTAAAGTGCCCGATTTAAATGACCCTCTTTGGAAAGACCCACAGTATGTAAAAATAATAAAATCTCCCTTTTGCCTTCACATTCAACTAATTAAATGTTTAGGTATTTATTTCCTGCATACGAGAACGATCCTTTATTAACTGGATTCGAAGAGGCGAGATTAAGTGACGATGAAGATGATCCGGAAAATATGTTGAACACGATTATCGTACCCGAAAAACTATTTCATAACCTTGATGAATATTTGCAAAAAGCATTGGTTTTGGATGATAAAAAGATATTATCTCCTTGACGATCATCGTGTAGTGCTTTATCCATCCATATAGTCATTACTAATCGAGATTGAGCGTAAAGTATGTTGAAAATATACCGTTAATCGTCGTTTTACATTCAATGCTTGAAGCTTTGAATCAAAAGAATATGTGACGATAAAATTAATTGATAAGAAACATTTTAAATCGCAATTTTTGTAAGTTTTGGGAAACTTTGTATTTAACCCTCAACAAATAAAACGCGAGAATATATTATTGAAGATGCTGCTGACGATAATACACCGAGATTGTTAAAGAGCAAATATCACTTTGGTAATTGGAAAAACCTGTAGTCATGTGTCCAAGAATAATGGTCATTATCGTTATACAATCATTTAGTGTACGACGTGTACTACATAATTGGTCATTGCATAAATAGAAAATCCATTCTGGGTAATGTTAGCTTTTATTGCTATTCTTTCATACACTTAAGAGATTCAAACAAACTACTGTTCATTCAATAATGGATCCATACTCTTCATCAGGTTATAGCGAACAAAACTACAATTATCCGCAATGTATGTCCAATATTGGACGAGATAGACAGGTCTAATCGCCTTTCCCGCATTAGCTTGGGAAAACTCGGGAAGAAAAGGCGAAAGTTCTATCTGTTTTTCGTCAACTTTTGTTTTTTCTCTGGTTGTTTAGGTGGATGCTTGCTTAAAGCTCAAGAATGAAGAATTCTGCAAGTTTATTAATTAAACTTGAGCAGAAGATTACGTAGTTTCTACCTACCATTTCTTGTCCTCATATAACGCTTGCAAGCTGACGAAAGTTATCTTGCATCCACCTGTTGTGTTTAATTTTGGTCCTGACTGATTATTTATTATTATTGTTGTGCATTTGCATCATAAATGAATGCAAAAAACATGTAAAATAGATAACGATGCGTATAATCAAGGTGGGTATACAACTCAAACGAATTCTTCCGAGTATTATTATGGAAGTGGACAACCGCCAGCTGTTAATACCCAAAACAGCAATAATAATACAAGTGCTAGCTTATCAACACAGCAACCACCTTTACAGCCACAACAACAAGCTCCGGGATCATCTTCAGCAGCACCACAACCACAACAGGGTTCTCCGGCCGCCTCACAAGGATATTCCTCAAGGATTGATAATTATGATTCGACCGGTTATTCATCAACAGGCTATTATAATTATCCACCACCATCTGCTACATCTACAAATTATCCACCACCACCGCATGTAGTTGGAGGATCAAACGCACCACCCGCTTCATATAATCCCAGTAGTAGCGGTGGCTACGGTAACATTCCACAAACACAAAATAAACCACCATATGATCATGTGAATAACTATGGTGAAGGCGGCGGGAATTCCGGGTACAATGATAATAAAAATCAATACGGTGGTGATAGTTTTAGTAATACCGCTGGCGGTGGGAACGCATATAAACCTCGAGATAACACTAGAGACACTGGTTTTGGTCCGTCACCTAAAGAAAATGTATCATACGATAATTATGGTGGTAATAGAAGTGCAGGTGATGACGGCAGCTATAAAGGTAAAAGTTACTTTTGATCTTAGTTCTCTTTACTGAGATCTTCTGTATCAACAGATTACTCATCAAACAAACTTTTTTTCATTTAGACTATAATGATGATTCGGTAGTTCATAAAAGTACAGATACAATATATATATCAAATTTAAGTAAAGATGTTACTGAAGAAAAACTTGCGAATTTCTTTGGAGGACTCGGCAAAATTAAAATAGATAAGAGAACTCAGAAACCGAAAAGTGAGTTAATCATTTTAAATCAAAATGTTCTTTACTTTGATATTCCTACTTGAATTAATCTTAACTTCATTATATAGTATGGATATATTATGATAAAGTAACGGGGATACCCAAGGGTGACGGTAAGTGATGAAATTTCTAATATAAAATTTTTGATTTGATAGAAAAATATCTGACTTTGATTTAAACCTAGCGACACTGACATATGAAGATCCTGATGCTACTGCAGCTGCAATTAATTGGTTCCATAACAAAGAATTTCTCGGTCAGGTACTGAAAGATTTTATATTTATTTATTATTTTTTACTCGAGTCATTTCTAAAGACAAATCACTATTAAATATTTTATTTATCATAGTTGATCAAAGTAGAAATGTCCGTGCGTAAATTGGGACCTACTGGTTTTAGAGGTGGATCTAGTGGCCGTTCCAGAGCAAGAGGGCGCGGTGGTTTTGGAGGAAAAGGTGGAGATCGTAATGCTGGCGGCAACCGAGGTGGTCCTCCGCCGCGTGATGGAGATTGGGCATGTGAATCGTAAGGAAAACTAGTTTTATTATACTGGTTGCAATCCACCTCATAAATCTTTCTGATATTTATTTCTGTATTATATCAAAAATAGATGTAACGCAAATAATTTTGCTAGACGAACGGAATGTTATAAATGTCATACACCACGTAAGGATGGACCTGCTGAAGAAAGTGGACATGGAAGCGGTAGACACAATGGCGGTGGGAATTCAAGAGGTGGGTATCGTGCTCGCAGAGGAGGACCCCCTTCATATGGTGGTAATAATAGTGGTCGCTATAATAATGAAGATGATAGAGGATATGGAAATTCAGGTGGCTATCGTAATAATGATACCGGTTATGGTGGTGGTGGCGGCGGCGGTGGTGGTAGCGGTGGCACCACTAATACCGGCTATGATCAAGGCGGTTATGGAAGACAGAGTAAGCAGGATGATCGGCGGGATAATTCCCGCTATCGTCCGTACTGACCCATTATCAAAGATAATCACAAGTTTTGGAAGGAAGAGCTGCGATTTTCTTTTTATCTTGCTATTTTTCCTTTGTTGACTCTTCTTTATGAATCATACATAATAATGACATGGTTCATAAGGGTTCTTATCGGGCATGCTTGTTTTTTCTTTTCAACTCGATTTTTTTACGTTCGGTAAATTCGGCAAAAGTTAGAATTATTTGGGGTTATAAAATTACTAAATATCAAGAATGAGATAGAGATATATTAATGAAAAAAAAAGGAAATACAGGGTTAGAGTCAGTCACTTAAAATTGGTGATTTCTTTGCCGTTGGATAGCAAAGAAAAGGATTTTTGTATATTATAAATAAGTGGTAGGTATTCCATGTGTTTAGGTGATCATTTTTTGATATGTGAATATTTTTATTTTTTGTGACGATGGTAATGATGGAAAGAGAGCATTATTTCTTTTGCACCAATGAATAATGTTGCAATGTGGTGAATCGTAATGGGTAGGTGTATGATCGTCGCGTAACAGAAAGTGGAGTTACCTGTTGCGTTCGTTGTGCACGTAATTTTAATTATGATGGGCAAATTTTTTATCACATGCACTTATAGTATTTTTATCCGATTTTATTTATAAATAACAATAAATATATATTTTAGAGTTGTTATTATCCAAAAAAATTGAACGTAATCAGTATCATTTATTATAGGGACTTTCCCTTCTGAGATATGATGCCTAATTTTGTCATTAGTTAACGTCGATCACAATTCACTAAGACAAATCTTTATAAAGACAAAATTTAGCTGACAAACATATGGAAGAGATCCCTCTTAGCCAAGAGGTTTACTATGTCTAACATGATTTATATTATTTTCGTAATTATAGGTTTCTTTTAAGGGTATTATCTAATATTCTGGAGGTCACTCCCCCTTACGATATCGATATAAATTCAAATACTTTACCAAAGGTTGATATCAAAACCACGAACTATGATTTTTATTTAAAAGTTTTAAATAAATGAATTTGCATTGTTACTCATATTGATGATACTCGTGAGATAGAAAGTTAAAATACTTGTCAATATATAGAACAACAATATTCTCGGAGGAACAAGATGTGCTAAGATTGCGAAGTCTGTTGCGACATATTCAAATGAATATATACAAATGAAGCTCTTTTTGTGGTAGATGATATAATTGTATTTTATTCGCATCTATTTTTGTATAATTATACGTTTTCTGGCATAGGATTACATATCGATAACGATAATGATTTTAACAGGAATATATAATTAAAAGCAAAAGCCTATATTAACGGAAATCATATTAAAGTTTAAGTGAATTTTTAACTATTGGTAAGAACACCAGAAATAAGTTTTTTCAATATCAGTTTTTGACATTACATTTTTTTATTACAAGTAACTTTCGTTATAAGAAAGTTAATTAATAAAGACAGTGGAAAAAAACAATTCATTACTGCGAACATGTTTACTTAATACACTTTGAATCGTATCCAATGTTACGAACTATTCCCCCCCCCCCCCCCCCCCACGTAAATAACACGTGACTTCTATTTATGATGATGACGTCATTTATTATGAAAAATGCTAGTATCCTAGCCATGGCAAAGAAAATTGCTCGGATTACGTGAAAATGTTCGGGTCGGAAAAATCCGAACATTCGAATCATGACGATGATCGATGACACTTAATTCGGACATGTGACTTATCTCACAAACACACGACCTCACTAAATGTCTCACTTCTAAGTATTCGCTTCTTATAAATTATTTGTCTACGAATCGAATTTCCTGATGTGTTCTGATCTGCAAGATTAGTTTCATAAAGTAATTTTATTCGTAGTATAGCTTGAGTTATCTTATATGTAATTAGTTGATCATATTATTCTCAACGATTTGTATATAGTAATATTCTTTAGTAATTTAACTTTTTTTAGAAAAAGCTCTTAATAAGTTTGATTACAAATTTTTTATTATGTTCTGATCTGTAAGAATCATGATATGGCTTGAGTTATCTTGCATGTAATTAGTCAATTATACTAGTTTTAAAAACTTATATATATAGTAGCAATCCAGCAAACTAGACAAAATATATTTAAATCTCAGAATACTTATGGTTAATTAATATATACTTACTTAATTATATCTCATATTTGATCACACATAATAATTAGAAATTTTAGATAATAAACAAAATAAATAGTATATTAAAATATATTATTTATTTATTAATATTAATCAAAATAATAATAAAAATAAATAAAATAAAATAATTTAATTTAACAAACTAGACAAAATGCATTCAGATTTCAAAATACTTGTAATTAATTAATATATACTTAATTATACTCTGTATTTAGTTGTATATAATAATTAAAAACTTCAGATAAATTTTTAATAATAATTAAAAAAATAATTTATTATTATTAAAATATATTATTTATTTATTAATATTAATTAAAATAATTGTGAAAGTAAAACTAATCAAAATAATATAATATTTATATAAATTAAAATCATATTAATATAAAAAAATATTTATTAATCTATTCTATTTAAAAGTTTTCAAAAATAATATAATTCAAATATAAGTTTTTCAGTTCTTAATTCTTAAGTATCTTGTTAACTATAAGTTTGCAGAACTTTTTAATATTTATTAATTACTTTAATTACTAATCTTAATAAAATCTTAAAGTTTCTTATTATTTATTTTTTATTTATATAATAATGATATAATATCAAATATTTTTTATATTAAGTAAGTTTTTTATATCTCTTTAATATTATATTATTTTTGATAAATATAAAAGTATTTTATTAATTATTTAAACTATAACTTTTCTATTTATTTCTTCAATATTTAGTTTATATTTAGTTTAAAAATTATTTATTAAAGTAATAATTAGTAATTTATTTTTATCAAAAGTAAATTATATTATATATTATTTTAGAAAAGATAAAAATAAATTATTTACTATTCTTTTTGATAATAAGATATTTATATAAGAAATACTAATTATTAAAATAAGCTAGATATAAATATATCTAGTTATTTATATTAATATAATATTTATCTTTTATTTTTAATTCAATATTTATTAATATGATTATATTCTAATTCTTTTTAAAATTCTATTATCAGACTAAAAATATATAATTTTAATTATATTATATTAATTTAGATTCAAAATCAGAAATAAGTTAATTTACTAAGATTTAGATAAGCTAATTTAATTATAATTTATTATAATTATATTTAAGAATATATTAATAATATTTTATAATTATAATAATATAAATTATAGATATAATTATTATATAAGAAGATCAAATAAATAAATCATAATTTTTTTTATTATATCAATTTAATTATAAATAGTTTTATAAATTTTTTGAAAAATAAAACTGATATATTTTGCAAATATACTAATAATATATATTATTATTATAATAATATAAATTTTTTAATTTCATAATTTTTAAAAATTAAAATTTTTAACTAATTAATTACTTAATAAAGAATATATATTTTAAAATAATTTAATTAATATATCAATTAATTTTAATTATATTTTAGTTATAATTTAATAATATTTTAAAATTATAAATATATAATTTATTCAAGATTAATCATGATTTAAAAATAATTTAAAAATGAATCTTTTTTACTTTTCTTTATTTATTATTAATTATTTTTTCTTTATAAAATATTTATCTTATATTATTATTTATTATTTAATTTAATTTTATTATTTATATTATTTTTTAATATTATATATATCTTATTCTTTATTTTTATTTATTAATTTATAATTCATTACTTAATTCTTATTTCATATTTATAAATATATATTATAATTATAAATAAATTATAAGTAAAGCTCAAACAAAATCTATATAACTTTAAAAATATATAAATATCTCTACTCTTAAATATAAAATAAATATATTTAAATAATAATAATTTTTTTATACTTAAAATTATTTAAATTATATTTATCTTATAATTATATTTATTTTTTTTATAATAATTTTGATTGAATTATCTCTCTTTAGCTTAGATTTTTATTTTTGCACTATCTATATAACAAATTAACTTTTGTATTATATTTTATAAAGATTAATATCATTTTAAATATACAGATAATTATTTTTATATTTAATATATTAGATTTAAAATATTATCATACAGATAATTATCATGTATATTAATATTATTAATTTAGATAATTATTATTTTTAATTAAATTTTTTTTAATTAATTCTTTATATTTTTACTCATTCTTTTCTTATTATTATTTATATTATTATTTAATATTTATAATTATTGAATTATGATTAGTTACTCTTTGAAGATATGAATTAAATTAATAATTTTATTTAATTATATATATTTTAAATATAGATTTTATTATTAATTTATTTACTTTTGTATTCATTTTTTTTACTATAAATAAATATTATCTATTTTATAATTTAATCTCAGATTTGAATATTTTTAAATAATAAAAATAATTATAAGTTATAAAATTAAAACTACTTATATCATATTTTATCTTGTTTATAATTATTAATAAAATAATCTTATAACTTGATAG